GAAGAAGTGGAAAATTGGGTCTCTGAATGGTTTGCCTCAAAACAAGCAAAGTTCTATTGGGACGGTATCCACAAATTACCTGAAAGATGGGGGAAATGTGTAGCCAGCGATGGAGATTACTTCGAATAAAGCACTTTTGATGTTTCTCTTGAAATTATCGTGTTTTCTTTGATTAAAAAATCCACCATTATTAACCAGTACACCTAGTATTGTACTATCATGCGTCACTTTGTTGACTCATTCTTTCTAGGCAAAGGATCTAACACAAACCCCCCTGAAGATCCTGAAGTTACTAGTGAACCAAACATTATCCTGCTTCCCTTGCTCCAACTGCAGCTCTCTATAAGGAATCTCTCTATATATAAAAGGCTAATATGCTAAGTGTCCCTCCAACCGTCTGACCGATCGCTATGACGCGCACTGACCACTCAATGCAGGAGCTGCCGTGATGCGCACTGGCCATTTACAGAGAAATGGCACAACGAACCTGGCGGCAACAAAGCAACGCACAGCTTTCCCCAAATGGGACACAGGCCTCGCCACCACCATGGAGTGACAGCCCACCAAATTGCAGCCAACGCTGCCGAGACCCCATGGCACAAAATGCGGCCTACAGCCCAGCCCAGCCTGGAAACCGTTGCTGTGGGCGTTGGGTAATTACATCACGTAGCAATGCCCAGCTTCCTCTCCCTAGCGACTAGCCTCCTTGGAGTTTCTTCAGCCCAGGAACATGACTTGCTTTATAGCCAGGTACAAACATTTTATACTGTAAACCAAATATCTGTAAAGCCTTTGCCTCATCTCATTTGATCCTCACATAAATCCTGGAGTAGGTAGACAGAACATTCAGTGGAATCCTATTTTCTTTTCATTAGCTGGAAAATGGAGATTTACAAAGTTTAGAAACCTGACCTGACTGAAAAGAAGAAATGGTGGACCCTGAAAATAACCTCAGGTTTTCTCACTGCGCAGAATATAGTCAAACACTGCTACAGTTAAATATTTTACCCTTTTTTCTCCCTGCGTGATCTACAATAATAATCTGCTTTGTATTACTATTTACTGCTGTGTTGCTGACAATTACCTGAAAGAAAAGTTGGGGTGCTTTACTGGGCTGGAAAAAGTTTAGTTAAATCAGAAAGCAGGTCTAATTAAACAACTTTATTCTATATATAAAAGTCTAAGTTGACTCGCGCATGCGAGATACATATAAAGCTCTTGCTGGCGCCAATCGCATGTGTGTGTTTCAATCTGTCATTGTCAATCATGAATTTGGTTGATACTTCTATTATAGAGAAAGGGCGAATAGTGATATGAAAATATTTCTGCTAATTAATTTCCTTTCAATGTGCACAAATCCGTGCACCAGGCCACTAGTATTCAACATAAAATAGGGAGGGGAGAATAAGACAATTCAGCAGATATAAAATGACAAGTAATGAACAGGTGCTTTAGAATGAAGGAGGTAAAAAAGAGCACTTACTTCCTTTTCTTTTGGCTATAAAATAACTCCAGACAGTTGCACAAAAGTCTAAGTATAATGCATAATATAAGGGTTATTAGACTACATACCCAGCTGTGCCCAAAGTGGGTTATATGGATGAGTTTTTGCCAACATGTCCACACTCTGAGAGGAATGTTTTTCTAAAAATATTTTTATAGGTGGTTGTCCATTTGGCATGACTGTTGGAACCCAGGCAAGATGATTGGTCAGAACTGCAGTAATAAGTGCTGGCAAGAATCTGAAAACAAAATGCATCTTATCAGATTCCAATTTGCCTTCATGAAACCTCAGGTAAATACAGTGATAGAATAAAGCAAAGAGAGTACATATTCTCATATGGCCAAACAGCATACAAAAAGAGAGGGGAAAGGATAGGCATATCCGGGATAAAAATGGAAGTTAATTAATTTTTTGGTTGTGTGGGAGTCAAAGAAAATCCTTGAAATAAAGACAGCATTCACAAGGAACTATTTCTGATCGTAATTACAAAACAAATATGCGGTTTTACATTAAAAACTATGGATTCTTTTCAGTGTTTAATTTACACAATTTATTAACAAATCAACCAGGAGGTCTATACATTTCCAAAGTACTAAATGGGAAAATGAAGGAAAGCATTAAACAACCTACCATCAAAGAGAATTAAAAAAATTTGAATTACTCATGTGAATTCTGGGAATTTGATGAGAAAAAATATGATAAAATATCACTTTAAAAATGGATCACAGGGTCCAGCCGGTATGGCTCAGTGGTTGAGTGTTGACCCATGAAACCATGGTGGTCATGGTTCGATTTCTATTCAGGGCACATTTCTGGGTTGTGGGCTCGATCCCCAGTAGGGGGCGTGCAGGAAGCAGCCAATCAATGATTCTCTCTCATTGATGTTTCTCTCTCTCTCTCCCTTCCTCCCTTTGAAATCAATAAAAAAATATTTGAAAAACAACAACAAAAAACACACCCACCACTATTTTTAAAAAAATGAATTACTAGAATCCTGGCACTTCTTATATTGTTAAATTTCTTTTTTATAGAATGAAACATTAAAAGTGGATACAATTCACAAAAAATGGAAAGCCTCAGACAGTTCTGTAAGATGTCAGGACTTTTAATTTCACACATAAGACATTTTTACTGTTTCTTATTCATACAGTTCTATGGCCTTTTTCCATACCTTATATTGCATTATCTTTTAGAATTCATTTTTATTAATACTACTAATATCTAATAATTACAAAGGTAATGGTTAATTCTTTTACTTTTATAACTGAGTTTGATTATAATTTGATATCTAGTTATAGTAAACTAGAGGCCCATTGCACGAAGAGATTAGTGCAATAGACCTTCCTTCCCCTGGCTGCCAGCACCGGTTTTCCTCCGGCACCCGGGACCCAGGCCTTCGCTCCGGCCGCAGCGGAGAAGCCAAGCCTCTTCAGTCTTCCGTTGTCTTCAGTCTTCGCTCGGGCAAAGCCTTCAGTCTTTGCTCCGTGCCTGCATATGCAAATTAACCGCCATATTTGTTGGGTTAATTTGCATACTCATCCTGATTGGCTGGTGGGCGTAGCGAAGTGACACCAATTTGCATGTTTCTCTTTTACTAGAGGCCTGGTGCACAAAAATTTGTGCACTCAGTTGGATGGGGGGGGTCCCTCAGCCCCGCCTGTGCCCTCTCGCAGTCTGGGATCCCTCAGGAGATAACGACCTGCTGGCTTAGGCCTGCTCCTGGGTGGCAGAGGGCAGGCCCAATCCCTAGGTGCAGCACCTGGTCGGGCTCAGAGCAGGGCCAATTGGGGAGTTGGGGCGCCGCCCCATGTCATGCACAGAGCAGGGCGGATTGGGAGGTTGCGATGCCACCCTCAGTCACGCTCAGGGTAGGGCTGATAGGGGGGTTGGGGCGCCGCCCCCTGTCACACTCAAGGCAGGGTCGATGGGGAGGTTGCGGTGCCACCCCGTCACGCACAGAGCACGGCCGATCAGGGGGTTGGGGCGTTGCCCCCTGTCATGCACAGAGCAGGGCCCATCAGGGGGGTTGGAGCTCCATACCCTGTCACACACAGAGCAGGGCCAATCAGGGTATTGGGGCGCTGCCCCGTCACGCACAGAGCAGGGCCCATCAAGGGGGTTGGGGTTCCGTACCCTGTCACGCACAGAGCAGGGCCGATCAGGGGGTTGGGGAGCTCCCCCCTGTCACGCACAGAGCAGGGCCCATCAGGGGGGTTGGGGAGCTCCCCCCTGTCACGCATAGAGCAGGGCCCATCAGGGTGTTGGGGAGCTCCCCCCTGTCACTCACAGAGTAGGGCCGATAGGGGAGTTGGGGAGCTCCCCCCTATCAGGCACAGCGCAGGGCTGATCAGGGGGTTGGGGCGCCTTCCCCTGTCACGAACAGAGCAGGGCGGATAGGGAGATTGTGGCCGCGCCCCCTGTCACACACAGAGCCGCAGCGCGATCAGAGGGTTTAGGTGCTGCCCCCTGTCACGCTGATCCCGGTGCCGGGAGGCCTCGCGGCTCCGCTGATCCCGGTGCTGGGAGGCATATTACCCTTTTACTATATAGGATAGAGGCCTGGGGGGTGGGTACAGGCTGGCTGGTTTGCCCTGAAGGGTGTCCTGGATCATGGTGGGGGTCCCCACTGGGGTGCCTGGCCAGTCTGGGTGAGGGGCTGAGGGCTGTTTTCAGGCTGGTGGGTGACTGAAGCTCCCAACCGCTCCTTTTTTCCTTTTTTTTTTATTCTGGGCCAAGGCCTCTGCTGCTGAAAGCAGGTATCTGGTTTGTTTCGGTTCTATAATTGAAAGACTGTATCATCTCCAGCTCTGAGATCCGGGCCTGCTGAAAGCTGGTCTCTGGGGTTTTGTTTAGCTTCTATATTTGTTACAATGTTTCAAACTGCCAGCTCAGAGGCCGGCAAGGCAGGCAGGGAACGTTGGTGTCCTCCTTCACTGAAGCAAGCAAGCCTCATGTTCGCTTCCAGCTGCCTGGCTGCCGGCCACCATCTTGCTGGCAGTTAATTTGCATATCGCCCTGATTAGCCAATGGGAAGGGTAGCGGTCGTACGCTAATTACCATGTTTCTCTTTTATTAGATAGGATTAGTGTAGATAAGAGCTAAGATATTTAAGATAGCGCAGATAATTAAGACAGACATACTGATTTTTTGAAGCATTTTCCATTAGAAAAGTGAACTCCTTCATGAATCGATGGCAAAGCTGGTTCTTTTCTGGAATCCCTGACATCATTGTAAGCCACACAGGTTCTCCAATTCGTGGCATTGTGTAAAGATTACAAATTGTTGTCCTAAAAGGAAGAAAACACACTATGATATTCATAGTTCACAGAATTACACACCTTAAAATAAAGTTACCTTACCATCTTGGGCCTCACACCTAGATTATTAAAGCTTTTGAGAGGAGACAATAAATCAAGTTGCTTTTTTTTGGTCATCAGCACAGTACCATGGAAAATGTTCTGTACATAAACTCATAATATGTTGGTTCTGCTGCTAGCTCTGCCCCCAATGACTGTGTGCCTTTGGATAAATTATCTCCCTACTTTAAGCATCAATTTCCTCCACTTGTAAAAGGATAGGACTAGATAATTTCTAAAGCCTCTTCCAGTTTTACATTTCTAAGGTATATGCTGTATTTAAAATAATGAGCAACATAGAAAAGAAAAATATTATAAATGGGGTAATAGCTTATCCATATACCCACTTAAAACAACAGTTTAGCCCTAGCTGGTTTGGCTCAATGGATAAAGTGTTGGCCTTCGGACTGAAGGGTCCCAGGTTCGATTCCGGCCAGGGGCACATGCCTGGGTTGCGGGCTCGATCCCCAGTGGGGGCTGTGCAGGAGGCAGCCAATCAATGATTCTCTCTCATCATTGATGTTTCTATCTCTCTCCCTCTCCCTTCCTCTCTAAAATCAATAAAATATATTAAAAACAAACAAACAAAAAACACAACAGTTTATCTGCATCATTTAGTTGCCTCAGCTGAGACTTTTTAGTAAAGTTGTGAAGGATGATGAGGACACTATAGATGGCATGCTATATTTTAACTCTCAACCTTCTGAAGTTTTCCTTGAATCAACACAAGAAAGGATTAAGTAATTATGATAGTGCTCTTCTGCCTATTTCATTTATTTAAGCAACAGCTAGTCTTGTGACTTACACTCCCTCTTGAAGGCTTCAAGGATAACTTTGAAATGTCAATTCTTTCCTTTACATTAGAATCTATTCAGCAAAGTCCTACACTCTCATCAGACTAAACAACTCCTGTAAAGTTGGGCCTTAAGAATCTAATTGGTCTCTAGTTCTCTGATAACTCCACAAGTGCTAGCATCCATTTCAGCATAATTCTCTAGCACCTACAATCCAAAAAAGGAAAAGAACAACTTTCACTAAATTGTGACCCAACATGAACAAGCTATATCCCAATGAATAGAAATGACAAAAAGAGGTTAACAAATTTTTTAAAAAATGTTTTTATTGATTTCAGAGAGAAAGGGAAAGAGAGAGGAAGAGAGAGATAGAAACATCAATGATGAGAGAATCACTGATCAGCTGCCCCATGCACGCCCCCTACTGGGGATCCAGCCTGCAACCGGGCATATGCCCTTGACAGGAATTGAATCTGGGACCCTTTAGTCCGGAGGCCAACATTCTATCTACTGAGCCAAACTGGCTAGGGTGGTTAATAAAGAGTTTTTGACAAGACATAAAATCATTACTGAGAACTTAAAAATAAATAGAAAAGAATTAAAGGTATTTTACAGAGAAAAATATGACTAGAATATAAACTAGGGATATGTGAAAATGCTTATTTTTAAAGCATACTAAGAATGTCCAGATACTACTTAATAATATGAAGGTAAATAACAAAAGAAATAGTTAAGGGAATAAGAGAGGTTGGATGGGATTCACTTATTTTTCATTATTAGGCCATTCAATATATATATTTTTTGTTTCTTAACCATGGGAATTTACTTTTTGATTAAAAGAAACACTGTATAAATGAATCAATGAGCTGGTCAATTCATTTGCTATTAATTTCTTTAGTGTATTAGTGTCTACTAAAAACCTGTGTGTCATGGGTCAGGGGCAGATCATTAACATTAGTATAGTGGTCCACTGAGAAACACTAATGCCTTAGCGTTTTGGTGTTTAAGGATATGTACTATGATCTCAAAGTGTATCAGGTGCAAAGAAATTATGAGTAATGCTTCTCCCTATATACAATTCTATGTTGTCATCAATGATCTAGAAGTAATGGTGCTTTCTTCCCCACTAATGACTACCTGGTATGTCTTGCCCTTCAGTGGTAAGAAGGGCAAGTATTTTCAGTCATCTGATTCTTCATTTCTCCTAAGCTGTCCTTGGAGAATGAAAGACTCCTTTAGTTGTAAGGGAACTGTGCGCATAATTTAGTTTTGCTTGTTATGCATTAAATCTACATAAAAATCCAAGGACCTCATCTTTCTGAAAGGAAGCTATGCTAACTAAAATGTACTTCCTGCTTTTCTAGGTTTCAGGATTTCTGTATACATGTGAATCATTTCCTTCCTCTTCTCAACTACTCAAAATTCACTAATTTTTCTGGTCTCAAATAATCACCTAGTTTAAAAATCTAATTATAATTTTTAATAACCATTTAGTTTTAAAATTAAGTATGACAGTCTCATTATTTGCAGTAATGTTCTACAGTCACATCAGTAATGATGTGAACACTGAATTAGTAAACACTGAGTCACTATTCCTAGGGGAAGTACAGGGTCAAAGTTCTTGTGAGCCTTTGGGTCACAACATTTTTGCCAACCCATCAATACATAATCTTGTTCTATATGGGTTTATTAACATCGAATTCACAGCCAACAGCACAATGACTCATGCCTGAATGAAGCTTACCTAACACGTGCATTTTTCTATGTAAGGCACATCACAGCCTTCTTGCACTTAGGAACATTGGTCAGCATTTCAGCACAATATTTGAGGGCCATTTTTAAAAGCAAAATCACTAACAAAAAGCACAAAATGCAAAAACAAACTGGTACTATACATACTTATATATATAT